GTCAACCTTGAGCCGGTGAAATTTGAACCGCTGAACTGCAGATAACAGTCAGCTGAAGTGGCCTGCAGTACTGCACCCTAACTACTCATAGAGGAATTTGACTAGCAGCAAGCCTGTCTTCCCATCCCTTCCTCCCCCCCCACCCTAAATTTAAAATGGGGGGGATGAAATCAACCAGGTGAAGAAACGAAAGCACTCCCGAAACGAAAGGAAGTGCAGAGTGTACAGGTAGTCCCCAATTTACAACACTTCACTTAGTGACTGTTTGAAGTTACAACAGCCCTGAAAAAAGTGACTTATGACCAGAGGTGGTATTCAGCAGGTTCTGGCCAGTTCTGGAGAACTGATAGCGGAAATTTTGAGTAGTTTGGAGAACTGGCAAATACCACCTCTGGCTGGCCCCACCCCCATCTATTCTCTGCCTCCCGAGTCCCAGCTGATCAGGAAGAAATGGGGATTTTACAGTATCCTTCCCCTGCCACGCCCACCAAGCCACACCAGGCCCACAGAACTGGTAATAAAACTTTATGAATCCCACCACAATATTTTTCACACTCACAACCGTTGATCCTGGTAACACGATCAGAATTCAGATGCTTGGCCACTATTTGTTTATGACGGTTGCTGTCCCTTGGGGGTCACGTGATCACCTTTCACAACCTTCTGACAAAGCAAAGTCAAAGGGATAACCAGATTCATTCAAGACCTCTGTTACTAAATTAACCCCTGCAGTGATTGACTTAACAACAGGGGCAAAAGAAAGATCCGCAAAACGGGGCAAAACTCACTTAACTCACTCAGCAACAACAATGTTAGGCTCCATTGTACAAACCATAAATCTAGGACTCCCTGTATTTGAAGGTAAAGGTAAAGGTTCCCCTCTAGTACAGTGGTCTCCAACCTTGGCAACTTTAAGACTTGTGGACTTCAACTCTCAGAGTTCCTCAGCCAGCAAAGCTGGCTGAGGAATTCTGGGAGTTGAAGTCCACAAGTCTTAAAGTTGCCAAGGTAGTCTAGTACAGTGGTTCCCAAACTTGGCAACTTTAAGACTTGTGGACTTCAACTCCCAGAATTCCTCAGCCAGCTCTGCTCCCAGAATTCTGAGAGTTGGAGTCCACAAGTCTTAAAGTTGCCAAGTTTGGGAACCACTGGTCTAGTACATATGTGCTAGCTCATCTCCATTTCAAAGCCGAAGAGCCAGCGCTGTTCAAAGAGTCTCCTTGGTCATGTGGCCAACGCCAAAGGAACACAGAAGGCTGTCACCTTCCCACCAAAGGTGATCCCTATTTTTCTACTTGCATTTTTTACATGCTTTCGAGCTGCTAGGTTGGCCGAAGCTGGGACAAGTAAAGGGAGCTCACTCCGTTTCGTGGGCTAGGGATTCGAACTTCCGACGTTTCTGATCGGCAAGCTCAGCGTCTTAGCCACCGAGTCCCTACATTTACCAATATTTACACAACAGAAAATCGCATAATTGTATTTACACAAAGTAAAACCCTTGCTGGGCTTAGCGTGGATTCTCAGGTCATCCCGTTTCAAGGAGGAGTTTTCCTCACTCTTCCCTGGAAGCCTTTAAGAAGATGTTGGATAGCCAGACACCGGACACAGTTTCCTGCCTAGGCAGGGGGTTGGACTAGAAGACCTCCAAGATCCCTTCCAACTCTGCTATTGTATCTTGTATCTTCCCAGCAAAGGGTTAATCGCTATCCGCGGTCTCCACGGTGTAGGGGATTTACTCCCGAGTAACGACCCAAAGACCCCACTCTGGCCTTCTGCCATTTGCTTCCCCACCTGCCCCGCCACTAGATTACAAGGAGAAATCACCGCAGTTCCCGGAGCGCCAGAGGCAACTCGGCGGACCGGCTGGATGAAAGGTGACGCGCGGCCAAACAGGAGGCGCGGGAGGCGGAGCTGCCCCGCGGGTGCGGCCGGCAGATTCCCGCGGGGTGGGTGGGTGGCTGGGTGGAAGGGAGGGGCCGGCTGTTGCCGCCGCGCTCCTCCGCCAGAAGGTGGAGACTCGCTCAGCCCCTTCGGCAGGTCCCTCAGCCCAGCCCAGCCCAGTTCAGTCCGTCCCGGCCGAGCGCGGCCGACAACTGCCCGCCAGCCGCCGAGGTCCGCTCTCTCGCCCAGCCACCATGGCCGTTCCCGTCTGCAGTCCCGACCCCGGCTACATCCGCACCGTTTTGGGCCAGCAAGGTCTGGACGAGCAGGACAGTTCCACGCTCGCCTTGCCGTCGAAGCTGTCGGGCGGGAGAGCCGAAGCGCAAAAGTCGCTCCGCATTCAGCGGCAAATCCAACAGACCTTGGCCCGAAAAAGCAAAGGCTCCCTAATCAACGGTGAGTGCCTCGGATCGGCAGGGGAGCGGCTTCCCAGGGCCCTTTTCTCTGCCTCCCCTCGCTCCCTCCCTCCGGCTTTTTCGGGTGAGCGAATGGTTTTCTTCAAAGTTTCCTTTCCCTTCGCCTTTAAGGTGAGGGAAGCATTTTTTATAACGCCTCCGCTTCCTCTTTCATTTCCCGGGCAGTGTGAGAATTTGTTTATTTTTAAAGTCTTCTTCTTGCGTTTTAAGTTGGGCCCTTGTAAAAACTTCCCCAAAAAGGGCTAGGGAAAGAAACCGGATTAAACTTCAGGCAAAGTTTTGTATTCCCACAAAAGTGTTTGCAGAGTTTTCTTGGTGCAGGCAGGGTATCCGGTTGAGTACCTAAGTTCATCTCCTGCAGCAAACAAACGTAACTTTCTGAAACTTTTAACTTTGGACTGGACTGGAGAGATAGGTTTAAAACCAGCAAAGGCACCTGTAATGCAATCTCTTGTTACAGGGAACTTACAATGGTCTACAATCTTTTTTTGTTGTGTTGTTCAGCAACAGAGTGGTCACAATGCCTGGAATGCACAACCTGACTCTGTTGTTACATCTTCAGATCCCCATAATTTTAACCTTAAACTGTCTATTATTGACCTCACCCCATTCCTAAGAGGTCTGTAAGGCNGCCATGTGGTCCTGTCCACCATTAAAACCATCTTTCCAAGCAGCTTCCATGTCTCCAGTGTATTTTTCCCCACTTGGAGCCGAACCCAGAAGAACATTTCTTCCAACAGTATCATGCAAAGCATTTTCCAATCCATCATTTCCTGTAAAATGGATATATAAGTTCACATATCAGCTTTCTATAGTGGATATTCCAAACGTAGATTTAATTCACTAATCTTGTAACTTTCACCTATGAGTGGATTGTTGAAATATAATGCATGCATCCACAAGTAGATATTCTTTTGTTCTTCCCCTTGTCTATTATTTCTTGCAGAACAGGAAGTACAACTGTCTTCGGAGATAAAATTGTTGCTGCTGTTTCAAGAATGCAGACCGAGAAAAGACTAAAATGTACATATTTACTTCACTCAGACTAAGAACATCTTTGCTTATAAAACATTTAAGACTGTGGGGGTGTGGAGAGAGACTTCATATAGAGTCTTCTATTTTTATTTTATTGGGATTTTTTTTAATCCTGTGTTCCCTTTTCAGTTTTTTCATATAATCTAACTAAGGAATGTACAAATAAAAACAAATTTATATAATAATATCTGTATAAATTTTAAAATTCTAAACACTTTAAAGGGAGGGCACTAGTTTAATTAGAATCTGTATAGCAGCTCCAGAAGTTAAGTTAGTTTTACTTTCCAACATACCGGGTAGATCAAGGGACAGCAGCTGCATAAATCTAACTTTTCAGAGAACTCAAGGGTGAGGTGAGATTCAAAACAGGTCTTTCATGCTTTGCAATTCAGTCTCTTGGATATTCCACCTGGGTAAAGAACCTCTGCATTTCCAGATGTTGCTGGCCTACAATTTCCAACAGCCCCTCCAGCGTGAATGATGGCAAAACCGCTTGGAACACAGCAACAACATTTACAGTAGAGTTTCCTATCCCTTCACTACACTCTACGCCAGATCAAACAAAGCAAGAAAAAAAATAGCAAAACATTAACCAGGGAGCTATAAAAGAAAAAAAAAGTTTTGACCGTATCTACAACCAATCCAGATATCTTTCAAACTAGGAATATGTTCACTAGTTCCTGGGAACTGGGAAAGTTTGTCAGCTAAGAGTTTTAAAACGTAGGTGCAAAAATCAGCATTCTGCACTTCCAGGCAAATTTGATCTTGGTATTTTTNTGAGTTCTAGTCCTGTTTTAGGCACAAAGCTGGCTGGGTGATCCCTCTCTCAGCCCTAGGAAGGAGGCAATGGTCTCCTTCCATGGCAATTTCTAAAAAAAAACTTTAAAAGTTTTTAGACTTCTAAAACTTGTGCAGTTTTCTTGGCAATTTCTAAAAAAACTTGCCAAGAAAACTGCACAGAAAATGATAGAGAGAGGAAAGTGTATGGAAGACAAGGCTATTTAATTGTCCTGGAATGCACACCTGACAATGTTGTTACATCTTCAAATCCCCATAACCATAGGATATAGTATGTCAACTGCTGGGGATCCCAACTGTTTTTTTTTTTGTTTTTTTTTTTGAGATATACTGTATGTCTCATAATGTCGTGGGAACATTATGCCAGTCTAGGCTGTGGATACAGGAGCCAATTCTCCAGGTAGATGAATCCATAATTTCTATTCCACCTTCTCTTCAGAAGTTTAAAATAGCGTAGATGACTATCATATTCCCATTGTTCTGCCTTCTCAACAAGACTGTTGAGATGATAGGTCAGGCTGGGAGAGAGCATCTGATCCAAGTTAGCCAATGAGCTTCTTGGCTGAGTGGAGAAATTTGACCCTGGGTCTCACTAGAATAAGTCATTATTCTCAGTTTGCATCATTATTAACAGTACAAATTATGAGGTTGTTCTTCCCCTCCCTTCCTCCTTCCTTTTATGTCTGACTTCCTCTTTCAATTTCATATATATTACTAAGTCACCTTGTCAGAAAGAGTCACTGGGAGTTGGGAAGCATATACATTTAATAAAATTATTATTATTAACATTGAGGAAGGAGCCAATGTCCATACAAAACCACCCCAATTTAAGATCAGTTATTTATGGGCAAATGATCTTTTTAGATATAGTAGGATGGACCATTTTCAAATTTATAGTACAGCCGACTTTCATCTTGCATAAGGTCAATTGATAAAAATCTGTTGTAGAATAGATGCAGCCACACCACATTGCAAATTTTATTGCTTGTTGCTATATATTTAAAAGAGAAGACAAAGTTAAGAGATGTTGAAAATCTGTGCCCTATAATACATGAAATAAATAAAACAAAACCCTCGGTGTTAAAAATATTTCACTTTCAATATTTCATTACATATTACATTACATTACATTATATGATAAATACAATCTCAGAAATAAATACTATTTTACTATTATTGGAATGGAGTCCCCATAATATCACTTATCTGTTTTGATCACTAAGCCTACGGAAGCTTTACACAATTAACATTAAAAGTTTTAAGCCTAGGCTTTTACCCAATTGTTAAAACATTCACCTTCCCAATCCTATATGAGTAGTCCTCGACTTATGACCATCATTGAGCCCAACATTTGTGTTGTTAAATGGAACCTTTGTTAAGTGAGTTTTGCCCCATTTTATGACTTCTTGCCACAGTTGCTAAGGGAAACTGGCTTCCCCATTGACTTTGCTTGTCAGCAGGTCACAGAGGATGATGATGTGACCACAGGACATTGCAATCATCATAAATGTGAATCAGTTGCTGAGTATCTGGATTTTGATGACATGGCCACAAGGAATGCTGCAATGGTCATAAGTGAGAAAAAGGTCATAAGTCATTTTTTTCAATCCCATTGTAACTTTGAATGGTCACTAAATGAACTGTTTTAGTCGAGGACTACCTGTATAGTATAGTAATAATTTTAACTGTTATTACCGTGATCCATATTTCATGGAGCCCTGGGAATGCTGGTAGTTCTTTGATATTAAGTTGAAAAAGATTAGAACTGCAGAACCATATTAACACCACTCCATGAAGTAGCTTTTATCACCACCCAAATTTGTGCTTGTACAAGTAGAAAAAATAGGGGCCACCTTTGGTGGGAAGGTAACAGTGTTCCATGCGCCTTTGGCATTCAGTCATGCCGGCCACATGACCACAGAGATGTGGCTTGTGTGCTTTCTCCCAGGGGCATCCTCACATGAGCCCTCATTTGAGCAGTTGTGAACACCATCTTGACTTTTTGATATCCTTTGTTGGCCCTTTCCCATTATTCTTTGCCATGGCTGTGTATGGATCTTATGTGCAAAAGGAAAATAAGGTAAAGGTTCCCTTCGCACATATGTCCTAGTCGTTCTCAACTCTAGGGGGAGGTACTCATCTCCATTTCAAAGCCGAAGAGCCAGCGCTGTCCGAAGACATCTCCGTGGTCATGTGGCTGGCATGACTGAATGCCAAAGGCACATGGAACGCTGTTACCTTCCCACCAAAGGTGGCCCCTATTTTTTCTACTTTCATTTTTACATATTTTCGAACTGCTATGTTGGCAAAAACTGGGACAAGTAAAGGGAGCTCACCGTGTTCCTTTTAAAAGGAAAATACTAGCTTCTTTAATTTTCCCCCACATCATCCACCCAACTACTCAAAAAGAGACCATACTAATCAACTAAATAATCAGATTCTTTCACACTGCCTTGAGGTTTTGGTATTGGGAAGTCAAGTGATATGTGTTTGAAATATATAAAGCAGGACTTTGAGGATAAAATCATTTGGAGATGTTAGTTCAGCCTCCATATTATCCCTTGACAAATATTATTTTTGATACTTGGTATGTATCTAGTATGAATGCTTCTGTGAAGAAATCGGAGGTTGCTATTTTCATAACTCTACTATAAACAATGTATGGTATAGAATTGCATAAAGCATGATTTGTCAACAATCGAGTAAGGAATATATTTGTCACTCCTTCTTACTGAAATGATGTTTGAAGAACTTTTTTCAAACTCTTTGAAGCTCTAGTTCTTTCATTCAAGAATGGAAACTTGTCTCTATTAGGTGTTTCTCTAAACGTAGAGACTGAATGTTCCCCCAGGGTGACAAGTTTATGACTAACGTCTTTAACTAGATAATTCCGCAGTCATCCAAGGATATCTTAGATACACTCCCTGGCCTGAAGGTACCAACCATAAATTAACCTACCTCCATTTCTCCTCATGTTTTATCTCTTTACGACATAGGTAATTGTAAGAGTTCTGCATATTATATAGCAGAAGTTGACATCTATGGCCTCTTTATGACCTGTGGATTTCAACTCCTAGAATTCCTGGCATGCTGGCTCAGGAAGTCTGGGAATTGAATTCCACAGGTTGTATAGGGATCATGTTTGCC